CTGTTAAAAAACTATCCACTTTGTGTCATGTGTGCTGTCTACCAGTGCTGGTATTTCATGCTCATTTGCTCTTATTGTTGGTTGAAGCGCTTTGATACCAAGGTGAAAAGTTTACATGTAATTACCATGATAATCAGTGTTTTGTGACATCAACACCGCACGGCTGAATGGTTGTTTGTATCAAAAGTTTGCCATTATACAGCTTAGTATCTTAATACATCAAGTTGTGTATTGAGAGATTTACAGGGTTAGAGCTTAGGGAAAGAGGATTTTAAATGAAAGAAATGAGATGTGAATTCTGCTAGTTGTTGTTAAATCACAGCTATATTATTTTGTACAGTATGAACCCACACTTCCTAACACCTTTCTGTATTGATGCATACAGACTGTACATGTTTGTGTAGTACAATTTACAAAAGGAAACAATCGCAGCCACAGTCCCAACTATACCAAAACGACAACAACAAGACATTAAAACATTTTTTCTAAGTTAGCAATCAGTCATTGACTTTGAGATGCTCTATTTGTATTTTGTAATTTTATAGACTCAACTGCCTTTTTTGAGAAAAATTTGGCCGTTTCCCATTGTTTTCATGCATGTATGATTTTGATTTCATTTATCATAAATTAGCAAGCATTGAACGAAATCGACTAACTTTCAGTGTCTTGAGTGATTGTATAAATGACATTTAAACTCCTTGCCATTGTGAATATCTACTCTGCATAATACAGAAATAAAATTGCATGCAATAAAAATGCAAAAGTCAATAGCGCATACCGGTAGTCAAACCAAATGGCATCGTATGTTTTGAACCATAGGCAAGCCATATATTGCACTTGGATTGGGTCCAAGTGTCAATGTCGTAGATGCAGTCACGGTTTTGTAACCAATAATTCAATTGAAATAAAAGTCAAAAAAAGATGAGACCAAAATAAAACAAAGTACAATGTTAAAGATGTAGAGCTAGTGGAGAGGAGACGGGGAAAGAAAGAGTGTATGAAAGAAAGGAGAAAGTGAGATTGAGGAGAGAGTGGGAGGGGGAGATGGGGGGGGGGGGGGGGGGGGGAAGAGAGAGAGAGAGAGAGAGAGAAAGGAGGGGAAGAGGGGTGAGGGGGGGGGGGATGAGGAGAAAAATTACAGGAACAGAGTATACATTGTAATAGAGTGTCTGCAGTAGACCTACAGTGTTTATTCTCTTTTTATTTTTGCAGGGTCACAGCATTTTTTATAGATTTTATTTTTGCAACCTCAATAAAAAAAAAAGGCATTGAAGGAGCCCAACCCTGAAAAGATTGCTGCAAGTATTGAATTAGATTTGTGAATGCGATCTAAGTCGAGTTGAAGGTTGATGAGTGATTAGGCATAATAAATATGCTTTATTCTCTGATATGTACACTGTATATTTGTGTTTTCAACTGCAACACATTGTGGGGAAATCAAGCTTGTGTTCAGACTACATGTACAAGGATTAATTGTAGAACTGTGTCAGCAATGATACGTTATTTACCTTTTTTCTGGTCTGAATGGCATACATTGAAACGTGATATATCAAACGCATGCTTTAGGAACGTATGTTTTAGCAACGTTCCAAATGAAAACTTGATAAAGAATCAGGTTTCCGTTCTACATGTAGTCTAGGGGCGTGTTTATGCTTCACTTTTTCTGGCCAGAATCAGGCATCTGTCACGCGTAATAGTTTAAAACACCGTTGCGTCCATGCTCACTTTTGTAGAATCACCGAAAAAACGGCGATCACGATCGCTGATCGTAAACTCACAAAAAGATGTGTTTACAATTTGTAAACGCGTTTAAATGGGGTCAACGCACTGACCTCTAGTGGGTCTACGTAGCATGCAAAGTGAAGGTTTGCGAATCCAGCTGGAATACCAATTAAGGCCACACACGGAGAATTGCCTGTAGGAGCCAGAGAAGTGAGCATGAACAGTACACTGTGGAACTGCGATTACGATGAGCGTTTACGATGAGCGTTACAAATCGCTCATTCTACCTTCAAAAGTGAAGCATAAACGCGCCCTTTATGCTGTATCATACTGAAATCATATATAACTGGGGGTGGGGGGCTTTTCTTGTGTGTGTTCTGATGATCGGTCAGCTGTCATGTCAGTTGACCTCTTCATAATAGTTTATTATTGGTAATACATGTACGTTTCTTTATACAATGATGTTATCTACTCTGAACACCACTTTTGGCTACATGACGTTTCTTTGTACAATTTTTATATGAATTTCCTATAGTCTGAACGGACCATTGAAGTCAGCATGGGTAGGTGATGATGGATGGTTTACTCTGTGGATTATCACGAGGAAAGGATTTGTTTGTCAGTCAGCGGATCAGGTTGATTGTTAGGATAGGAGTTAAGGAATGTGCTGGTACACAATGTAGTACTAGTATCAAATCAGTTTTGTCCTGCTTAAAAGGAATATTATTAGAGGTCTCCATACACCTTCGACATCCTGCATTTTTCAGAGACTTTGTAATACTGCAATCGAGTGATTTGAAGCTCTTTCTCCACTCGCAAGATTTGCATCGAAGACCTTGCATTGAAGTTCATCGGGAATGAGAAGGAGCATTTGATGAAGCTTACTAGATCTACAGTACGTGTACATGACCTTGTGTGAACTTCATGTCTGTCACGTCATATTTGCTACTATTTTGATATTGTTTTGGGGGACTTCCCCCCCCCCCCCAAAGTGGTTATAGCCTCTGTTTACTCAGTTCTTCGATTAATGCTTGAGAGCATACAGTGGTTAAGATGAGCTTTTCAGCTGATAAGTAATTGTTTACAGACATACATTTACAAGCTATACTATTTCTCTCATATATGATTTGACTGTTTTCCCACACGGTAAGTGGGAGGTGAGAAGGCAAGGGCATGTCTGATCATCCATGTAACGAGTTCAGCGTAAAGAGAGGAGGCTGAACATGATAAATATAACCATCAATCAAGTTCACTCCCGACAACGCAAGGTGGCAGACGTTTACACCATTCACCACTACACAGCTGTCTCAGGCAGGCATTCAGTCTTGTGTTTCCATTCAGCGAGCTACATGTGGATCGGAGCTTGATATTCTTCTTTGTCGTGACCGCTCAGCATACATGTGTGTTGTGTCTGGAAGAAGGGAATTGGCAATGTTGAGTGTGCAAACATACGGGACCTATGGCTTTTGATCCTGTATGAGGAACTAACTACTCACATTGTTGTTGTCCGACTATACTACATACATGTACATGTACATAATCTTTTATTTTCGTTTTACAGAGAAAGAGACAGAGTGCTAGGGATGATAGCAAATAATAGACACTGTTTTGACCCTGCTTTTGCTTTTTGATTGAATTGAATTGGATGTTTACACTTTGTCTGGTGTGCACTTGTGCATGTACACGCATTCCTCCTTTTTGTGATAAAAGTTGCTGTTTTAATCAATATTGGTGCAGGAATGACAGGATCATAATTTTCTTCAGAAAAAAATAATTCATATTACGTCCCTCATCTGCAAAGAAATAATTGGACATGGCATGGCTGGAGTGCACTGAATGAGATGCTACTTGGGGATTAATTAATTGGCTTGTGGGACTCCCATAGCTACGACCAGCCGGTGCATCTGGCCAACAAACCAACCAACCGACCGACCACTGGGTACATACCTAGCCATGCACTTGAACCTGAGTGTGCTGTCGTATGGTGGTCCACGTTACGCATGCTATATACAGAGTGTGTCCCAGTAGCATGAGCGCGAAGTTACTCTAGGCAGTCAAATGAGGATAAATGAGATACATGTCCGCTGGTTGGACGGTGGAACATATCCTACGGGATGGGAATTTGTGAGTTTGGACCAGCCGAGCATAGTTGAAGGACGCATGTAGAGATATCTTGCTTGCTACTGTTTATTATTGCTGGCTTAGCGGTATATCTACCCTTGTAGCTTCATGTATCAATTGATTGGATGCGTGCTGCGTATTGATTCATCATTCAGATATTCAGACTTGTAGCTACTGGCGTGGATGCTAAATGAACCCGGCTGCTCGCATCCCTCTCCTCCTAATCCGACGTACATGTGTTCATCCCTGCATCTTTCATTTAAACTTCATCCGCTCTTTGTCGCCCTGACATTTTTATGATTGGAGGGTGGTCAGAGGGACGGCTCCTGTCTGACCTGGGAGGCTAGCGCAAGAAGGGAGTAACAGCAGAAGGAAGCGATGACGTGGAACTGAACTCTAGCTATCTTGGTTAGATGCCGACTTGTTTTCATTTGTACCCACGGACATACCATCGATTACGTCAGTGAAAATGTTTGTTATGGATCAATAACCTTCACCAAAGATGTTTTGAGGATTCTTTAGAATAATTGCATGGATGAATTTGTCATCAGTCGCAGTGAATTGTGAAAGACATCACATTAAATGTTAATATGAACTCCTGTTGAATATTTTCCGTTGTTGTATGGATATTGATCTTCACCTTTAAGTAAAAACTTTCAAGTAGAAAGCCCTCTTTCTCTGTGAAATTGCATTGACTCTTTTCAGCTCTGTGTTTTATTCTCCTTCGGATCATGCAAAGTTATCATTTATTTTGAGCCTGTACATGTACATGTGAGTAAAATATTAGCGGAAGGATTTTTTTTCCTTATATCATCATACTTCTGGAAACAACATGATCAAGGTTACTCCAAGATATTGGCTCTTGGGTGTTTAGTTGGAGTTTCACATCATATGTTGGTCTCAACCGAACCTAAAACAGAACAAAGAATTGTCTGCATAGCTGTTATACACAAGGAAACTAGAATCATTCAATGCAAGAGCTGCACATCATCCACTGAATGAGTTATTAATAAAGACACACTCCCTTTAAAAACAAGGAAGTCATAGCTGAAGTGGATAATATGGATTTTTAATCATATCTCGTTATACAGTAGGAAATGTATTGAGAAGGATATTCAGTTGGAAAAGCAATTTGCTTGTGTATGTATTTCATTCGTGATAATTGATTCTCTTTAACGTGGCAGTTGCGGTGAATTTATGATCATTTATGCTGCTGTTTATTATGTGAAATGCATTCATGAGCGGTGCTTGTATTGTAGAAACTATTGATGCGTATCTTTGATAGAGACTAGATCGTGGATTCTGAAACTTTGCTCTCTTATACATGTAGAATGTCATTGTAACATCAACTTTGAGAGCGTCCATATTTTCTTCCGAGTTTGGTGAATGCACTTTCTTGAAAGGACATCATGATATTCAAGACAACCATGACCATCTTGGCAGTCTGTGCATACATTGCATGTTTACAAGACTGTGTTTGATCATACCTTCTAGCCAATTTATCTCGTCTTGACAATCTTGACTGAAATCAAGAAGCAACTTTGGGGGAATTGTGTCCATAATTTGCTCCCATCTGCATTATCACAACGGCAAACATGGCGTGTGAATTTCACGTTTCTGGAAGCGAGTCGTCGTGTAGCCTGCGCTTAGACTTAGAGCCACGGCCGACAAACAACAGAACGTCGCAGCTCTTAGCACTTCTACGAGATTTGGTGCTTAAACGTTGGGAAGTGCTTTACGCCTGGCAGGTTTATCAAGAGGTAGGTTAGAAATAAGTCAGATTAACTCAATGCAAGTTACTTACAGCCATTTTTCCTCTAAATATTTCAACCACACAGGGGGGAGGGGGGGGGGGGTGGAGTAGACAGTGATTGAGAGCAAGCCCCCACCCCCTACCACCTGCTCCTGACTCTAAAGTATGAGCCATCAAATGAGTACAATGTCTGTCATTCTGTTGTATGGCATAGATTAACCCGCTGACTACTGATTTCTCTGACTCTCATAGGCTCAATACATGGACCACTGAGTGGCAGTAGGCAAAGGGTTCACTGAATACAAATATCAACTTTAGTTGGCTTTAAAGTTATCACTAAATTTGTCTGTTTTTTAAATTTTTATCCCATACCCTTTTTAAAGATAATCGTGATCTCTCTCAAGTTATATTGACAAATTATATGAAATTGTTTTTGAAATATTAGGAAAAAAGTAAGAACCAGGTTTAACAATTAAGAGTTTGAAAAGGGATAGCTCATTTCATTTAAAATGAAAATGTCCTACTACTAATTGCCTACACACATGGTTTGTATTGACATGTACAGCGAGTCTGACTATTAAGAGGATAACTATTTGCTGAGATAATGAATTAAATGGTTTGCTACTTTGATGGTTTAAAATTGACTTTCACTGTACAATGTACATGATGATAATTATCTCTCAATACCCATTAGCAGAATGGTATCTTAATTGTTCTGAGGCTTGTATCCAATTAGTAAGGCTATCTTTGATTAGTACTATCCTTTCATTAACGATAAGATACCTTAATTAGATTCCATACATGCTGGAAACTATGTGCTCTATGGACTACCATACCTGTCAACCCTTACAAATAATCCAGAAAATTCAGTTTTTCTGGATTTTTAGGACTTATAAATCTGGAATATTCTGTATTTTTCAAAATTTCTTTTTTTTTTTTTTTTTTTCTCCCCCCCCCCTTCCAAATTAAGCTTATTTTATCATGTGTCGCGACTGGAGAGTTCACATTTTGCGTGCGTTAAATGGCTGCATGATCGAGCAGCGAATTTGTATTCGCTTTTCTTGTACAGATTTATCGCGTATTTACCAGTTACAATGCCGCTGCATGTGCGAACGCTTTTTAAGGGTACAGATTTCTTATTATCGAAGGCATACCGTGCTAAAAATTCCTGATTCTTATTTTCAAATGTTGGCAGGTATTGACTACCGGTAGCTTGTTAAATTTTTTGATTGATACAGAACTGAACAGACTGTAAAGGCATCTCTGTGAGTGACCTCTCCTCCTAAGAGAACAATTAGAAAGAAGAAAACACACTAACAAAAGACCCAGTTCTACTATATTGCTATTTCCATATTTAAAAAAACATGATAAGATTGAATCTACATGTATATGATTTGTTTGACAGGACCTTGACCACCATATTGTATGTGTGAATTTAAGTGTTGGAGTTAGCACCAAATGTGTGAGTTGAGTGTTATTTAAAAAAAGTCAAAATCAACACAATTCTTGAACACCATGAAGGGTGTTAGAGTTACACCAAATGTATTATTTTTAAAAAGTCAAAATTAAAAGATCTTTACTCATGGAACTTGAGGGATTACACCTTGATCATCAGATGTTTTATTTCCCAGGGTCTGTTGAAACAGATGTCTTTAAAAATAATGCTTGTATGTATTTGGAAAAAAACAGAGAGTGTATATTTACATAATAATATTTCACTTTTATATAGCGCTTAATACATCAACGATGTCTCTAAGCCCTTTATACATTGTAGATATATTATTACCCCGGTCATCGGATTCAGGCTTACCCGCGCACAATGTATGCATATTCTCCACTCCCTGGGGCGCATTCCAGCCAGGCGTCATTTTACAGATGCTCACAATGCTGAGTAAACTACATTGACTTTCACATCCTACTGGGTACCCATTTAACACCTGGGTGGAGAGTGGCAAATGTAGATTAACGTCTTGCCAAAGGACATTAGTGCTAGGTTGGGATTTGAACCCTGCACCTAGTGATCTGCAGTTGGGTGACTTATCCACTCGACCACAACACCTAAAAATCAGTTCATATCAAGGGCAAAGCTTATAAAAATGTAGGTTGGTTGTGAATTAAAAAAAAATACACAAAGCATTTGACTTTTTGACTTGTTTTTTCTATTAAATGATTATTCAGGTCAGCACTCATTCAGGTCATGCGCTGGGAAAGATATCTGAGATAACTTTTGACATTTCAAAAATATCTTTTTGAGTCCAACAATTCTGCATTCTTGTGAGAACAATCAGACAATTGCATTATATTTATGAATCTCATGGTTCGCTTCACTCTGACATGTAATTGACATCTGAAGGATGAATAAGAGTTAGTTTTAAGGTCATGTACAGTTGCATTGGTATCCATTAGGCCCATTGGTATCCATTATAATATGCCCATTTACACAGCTCAAACACCATTTGAAAAGTCATCAATTTTTTAAAATGCCTATTGCACTACTTGAAAAACCAATAAAATTGTCTGTGTTTGCCCATTTGGTGGGTAGTGTGCATGCACGACGTGATGGTGCTATGCATGCGATAACATGTACATGGAAGCGAGGAGAACATTGGATTCATTCAATCATGTTTCCAGAGCGAGCATTTACACTGCCAAAGTCTGCAAAATTTCTTGGGATGTTTAAAAAATCCACAATTTGTTTGGCTTGCAGTGTAATGCAGCTATGAATAGCTATTGTTAGCATTAGATTAGGTTTATTGTGGTCTTGTAATAGCCAAAAAGCTGTGTGTCTTTATGTGGGTCAGAAAAAAATTAAAGATATATTTTTTGTATGAGGTGCTATATCTACATTTGCCACACTCCACCCAGGTGATGTAAATGGGTATCTGGTAGGAATTAATTCCTTGAAATGCTAGAGCGCCGCAATGGCAGGCTTGGCAGCACAGCTAAAACTGGGGTAATAATCTCCAAGTTTGGAAGCGCTTAGTGATTCTAATATGCGCTTTATAAAAACTGACTATTACTATTATTATTATCTTGAACTGTAATGACTTCAATACCGGTAACTACTAACTAACAATATTCTGAATACAGATGACGATTACTTATGTTTCAAAGGACAAATATAATTAAAAGCTGTCACCAAAAAAAAATTTATTACAAAATAAAAAGTCATTATTTTCTTTAGCCATTCTGGAGAAATGAAAGGGTCTAAATTTTAAGGGAAAGTAAACCTAAGACTTTCCTAAAAGCAGAAAATCTGACGTTTTGAAAATGTCAAATTCAGCTCATCTTTGCGAGTCAAGGGAGCAGTAGAATACATTGACATTTATCAAACTAAACAGCAGGAATGAAATATTACCCTCTAGCCAGCTTATAGAGTGGTTTTTCTTCCTAATGCCATGACATATTGATGGATAACTGGATATGAATTTAGTGCTACATGTAGCTGCATACTGCATCATCGTTCAGGAAGTACAATGTAAATCTCACCCATAGACATTGTACATTGTTGCACAAGTATGTGTAATATAAAGGTACCCTACTCTGTCCACTAGAAAAGGTACTTGTGTGCATTTTGGTAACATTTATGGGGTAGTTAAACTGCTTTTTCAAAATAGATTGATATTTTTAGAATAATTGACATTGTCTTTATAGTGTTTAGTAATTCATCAATATAAAATATTCTACCACTCTTTAGCTCTCTTATGATAATAATAATAATATGGATATTTATGTAGTGCTGGTATCCGCCAGGCTCTGACGCTCATGGCACTGTACATACAGTACACGCCGAAAATCTCCGCAACACGATTACACGATTTATTTTTAGGATTACACGGTTTACACGATTCACCTGAATCGTGTAACTGTGTAATCGTGTAAATTTACACGATTGAAGAATGTCGCTCTGAATCGTGTAATCGTGTAAATAGTTAAGTGCATTGGTCGGATGATTCGACCAGATGTAACAATCGTGTAACTGTGTAATCGTGTAAATTTACACGATTGAAGAATGTCGCTCTGAATCGTGTAATCGTGTAAATAGTTATTAGGGTTATAAGGGCATTGGTAGAACGATGCGACAAGCTGCAACAATCGTTAAATCTTATCCTGCTGACACCAATTGCTGTATACACAACTTACCTTCAGTGTACATCAGTTTATAATTACTGTACTTTATATTCGTGTATAAACCTCAGCACTTTCAACTAACATGTGTCGTATACTAATCCGTGAGACAAGGTAGGAAAACGTCAGAAACAGGAAGACATGATAGATGAAATAGTAAAGGAAAAAAGATAGCTACGAGGAGAAGGGAACATATAAAAGGGAAAATGAGGGTTGAAAGGCACGATAAAGATAAACAGAAAAAAAGAGAGAAAAGAGGGAAAACTAAAAAGTTGACCGGAAGAAAAGAAAGAGTGAAATAGAGTGATAAAAAAAAAGAAGGGCGAAACCTAGTAAAATTAACAGAAATGAGAAGGCTATGAAACAGAGAGGAAAAGAGACAAATAAATAAAGTAAGAGGGGAACATAATGAGGCGGGAAAGAGAGGCGAGAAAGATATGGGGGAATGGAAAGATATTGAAAGAAAGAGTGAGAGAGAGAGAGAGAGAGATAAAAAAAAAAAAAAGCTTTAGTTGAAAGAAAAGGGGCACCGATCAGATTTTAATAGGGAGTTGATGGGGGCATTTATCAAAAGTGAAGAGGGGCACTTCTCGTACTTAAAGAAGGATACTTACTAGAGATTAAAAGGACACTAATGAAAATGGAAAATGGACACTTATTGTAAAGGAAAATAGGAACTCGTCGAAGGAAAAGGGGTGTGTGTCAAAAGAAAAGGAGCACTTATCAGAGTTGAAAAGGGGAAGGGGCACTTTTACAAATTAATAGGGACACTTGTCAAAGTAAAATAGGTACTTTTCCTACATACAAAGGGGCACTTTGGGGGAACTTGAAAAAGGGGGGGGGGGGACACAGTGCCGCTAGCTAAACGTAACTCAAAGA